CTCTTCCGATCTATAGACATTTCATATTTCATGTCGAAATATAGCATGTTAAAGAATTAAATATCACATAAAGTATTGATTTTTTTATAACTTTACCTTAATACTTTTATATGCAAAATAATTAGAGGAATTATATTATTTAAAAAAATCACACCGTTCTATTTAAAAAAGTGGAGGGACTTCATGTGACTTTTTTTATAAAATTGTTTTTATTATTATTTGTTTCCCTTCATGTTCTACAACTTTTTGTCTAAAATATTTTCTTGTATCTTGCGTATTTTTCAAAATATTTGCCTGGGGCAATTAAAATACCCTGTATACATTCAATCTTTTTCAATTCCGTTTTTTTACATCAAATAATTGCTTTGTTATCTAAATATTATTTTTAATTTATTTTTATAGGTTCATCTGTGATATATTCAGATACAATTTGCGATTTGGGAGCAGCTGACGAATTGGCCAATTATGGTGAATATTCTGGTGCTCCTAGTGAACAACAAACTTACGAATATGCAAAAACTATACTGAGTTTAATGACAAAAGCAAAGCGTCCTAATGGAAAAGTACTTATTATTGGAGGTGGAATTGCTAATTTTACAAATGTAGCTGCAACATTTAAAGGCATTGTTAAGGCTCTTCAAGAATATCAGCCTAAACTAGTGGAATATGATATAAGAATTTTTGTTAGGAGAGCTGGACCTAATTATCAAGAAGGCTTAAGGTGAAAAAGAAGAAAAATTTACGTAATTTATTTATAATGTAATAAATATTTATTTATATATTTTTAAAAATGTTATTTTAATAGGATTATACGGGAAGTTGGTAGAAGTTTAGGAATTCCCGTTCATGTATTTGGTCCCGAAACACATATGACAGCTATATGTGCTATGGCACTAGGAAAGAAACCAATTCCCGATCCAGAAGCTCAAGAATTCTCAACCGCGAATTTTCTCTTACCATCCGGGCAAGATGTTGGACCACCGTGCACACCATCTAAGAATAACGTACCTTCATCAGAACAGTTTAAATTGAGAACTGCAGATACTGTAGATTCGAATAACGATGGCAGACAACTTTTCAGTAATAAAACAAAATCTATTATTTGGGGTATGCAAACAAGAGCAGTGCAGAGTATGCTGGATTTTGATTTTGTTTGTCGAAGATCCGAGCCATCCGTTGCTGCTATTGTATATCCTTTTACTGGCGATCACAAACAAAAGTTTTATTGGGGTCATAAAGAGGTGAGTTTTTGTTTTTCAAACAAAGAAAAAAAAATCAAAAACAGCTTAATATGAAAAAAAATCTTTTAAATAAATAATGTAAATTTTAGTAGTATTATATTAATGCTAATATGAATATTAATTTTATTTATTGTAAATAGGTTCTTATTCCTGTTTACAAGCAAATGAAAGATGCTATGGCTAAACATATGGATGCAGACGTAATGGTCACATTTGCCTCTTTAAGATCTGCTTACGAAAGTACCATGGAAACGTTACAATTTCCACAAATCAGAACGATTGCCATAATCGCAGAAGGTATACCTGAAAATATGACTCGAAAATTGATTCTAGCAGCGCAACGGAAGAATGTGACCATAATTGGACCGGCAACTGTAGGAGGTGTAAAGCCAGGTTGCTTTAAAATCGGTAATACCGGCGGAATGATGGATAATATTCTGCATAGCAAATTATATAGACCTGGCAGGTAATATTGCACAAACGGATCTTCGTGAGCGTGAATCCAAGCAATTAGAATCAATTGGATGACAATAACATTATTTTCAGTGTCGCTTACGTTTCTCGTTCTGGTGGCATGTCAAACGAATTAAATAATATAATTTCCAAAGCTTCCAATGGTGTATTAGAGGGTGTCGCTATCGGTGGGGATCGATATCCAGGAACTACTTTTATGGATCATATAATGCGTTATCAGAACAATCCAGATGCGAAGTTAATCATATTGCTCGGGGAAGTCGGTGGTACTGAAGAATATGAAGTTTGCCAAGCATTAAAAACGGGCAAAATTACAAAACCATTGATAGCTTGGTGCATTGGTACCTGTGCCAGCATGTTCAATTCTGAGGTGCAATTTGGTCATGCTGGCTCTATTGCAAACTCCAATCTTGAAACGGCTTCTGCAAAAAATGCAGCGTTGAAGACAGCTGGCGCATATGTTCCAAATAGTTTTGATAATCTTGGCGATCTCGTACAAACCGTTTATGAACAATTGGTAAAAGATGGCATAATAGTGCCGGAACCCGAAGTACCAGTGCCGACAGTACCAATGGATTATGGATGGGCCAGAGTAAATTTTATTTATCTATTATAGATATTATTTATCTACCATAGCTCATTTTTGTTATTCGGCTGGAAAATGATAACAGTGATATAAAAATAAAATAAACTGTAAACTGTTACATGTTTGAGAACAATATAATATTGAATATTTTTTTAACAAAAATAGATAAAGGACACATTTCCGTTTAAATCAAAGAAGGGTGTTACGAAAAGGCCGATTTTTACCTCGCTCGGAAAGTAAAATTGACATCGTTTCTTATAGTTTTTGAGACAAGAAATCCAATGCAATTGAACTCAATTTTCGATGTGTTCCCGACATGTGACGTAATTTTAACTAGCACCATTGAATTCCTCGTCTCAAAAACTATAAGAAACAATTTTACTTTCCGTAAGCGAGGTAAAAATCGGCCTTTTCGTAACACCCTTCTTTCGTTTCGATATAATACAATAAAATTTATGTATATCGTACAAGATAATCACATTTACTTGACTATAGGTTTACTAAATATTTGTACATAAGTATATATAGTGAAATGAGCGTTGGCATTTTTGCATATGTAACCACTATTTATTAACATAATAGAAAACTAAATCATTATATATATTTTTTTTATATTGTACAAACAGGAACTTGGTTTAATACGTAAACCAGCATCGTTTATGACATCAATTTGTGATGAGCGTGGGCAAGAATTATTATATGCGGGTATGCCTGTAACTGAGGTTTTGAAACAAAATGTGGGCATTGGTGGCGTTGTTTCGCTTTTGTGGTTTCAACGCTGTTTACCCCCAACTTATTGCAAATTTCTTGAAATGTCGCTGATGCTCACGGCTGATCATGGTCCGGCTGTCTCTGGAGCTCACAATACTATCGTTTGCGCACGTGCTGGAAAAGACTTGGTTAGCTCTCTCGTTTCGGGACTTCTAACAATTGTAAGTGAAAAATTAAATCTTAGCAAACAATATGTGTGTGCGTGCGTGCGTGCGTGCGTGCGTGCGTGCGTGCGTGCGTGCGTGCGTGCGTGCGTGCGTGCGTGCGTGCGTGCGTGCGTGCGTGCGTGCGTGCGTGCGTGCGTGCGTGCGTGTGTGTATATAGGGTGTCCCATTTTAATCGATCACCTCAAATATCTCTTGAACATTTTAGGGAAAAATGTTTCAAACAAAAGTTTTTTCGAGGAACTTTGAGGGGGACATAGGATAACATTGGTATGACCCTGAGTGGCGTCGTCAAGGTCAGGACAAGGTCGCTTTGAATTTTTTAAATGGAACCCTCCATTTTATATATTCTTGTAGCACACCTCGAGAGCTTTCCAAAACACATAGATAAAATATTTCTTTATGAAATAAATTTTGAGTTATAAAGCTTGAAAGTTGGAGTACCGTCGGCATTAGCATCATCCAAAGTGTCCGAACACTAGCTAAAATCTTTTGAATGTTCAGGATCATGACATTGATAAAACACGTGAAGGTCATGACCATTGGAAAATGTTTCTCTTTTTTTCAAAAAATAAATATAATTTTCAAAAATGAAAATAAAAGCAATAATCTTTAATGGCCTTGATCTTGACATGTGTTGTCTAGGTCATAATCCTGAACAACATTCAAAAGATTTTAGCCAGTGTTCGGACACCTTGGATAATGGTAATGCCGATGATACTACAACTTTCAAGCTTCATAACTTGAAAAGTATTCATTGAAAAATAACTTTATTATAGCATTTTGGAAAGCTCTTGAGGTGTGTTACAAGAATATGTAATGAAAAATGGGGATTCCATTTAAAAAATGCAAAGTAAGTTGTCCTGACCTTGACGACGCCACTCAGGGTCAAACTAATGTTATCATCTTATGTTCCCCTCGAAGTCTCAAAACTTTTGTTTGAAACATTTTTCCCTAAAATGCACTGTTCAAGAAATATTTGAGGTGATCGATTAAAACGGGACACCCTGTATATGTGTATGTGTGTAATATATATTTTGATTATGTATATATTTTTTCTAAATATTTTTCTTGTAAATAAGCATTATATACTGATTTAGTGTAATATTTCTAAATATGAACAATGTATGACATAACATATACCTGAGTACGATACAGCTTAAATAATCCTTTTTGTTCCGTCATCTTATTCAAAGTTTTAGCAATTTCTTGTACAATGACTTTTACGCATATATTCGGCTTCTTTTCTAAAAAGCTATTAGATACATTCAGCACTCTATTTATAGCTTCCTCTTCTAAGCTATCTTTCCAATAATTATGGATATTCCTTCTCATATTCTTTTGCTTTTGTCTTATCACATAAGACTTTATCATAGTCTCGTCGAAAAGTGTTGAGACAATCTTTTTGAGAATTAAGTGCAGTAACTCTGCCTGATTAAGATTCAACCAGGAAGGTGTAATTTCGTTTTCGTTTTCTTCTTTCGACAGATCCGCTCGCGCGGATTCACGCTTCTCTCTCGGTCCCCGTATTGTAGAAGTCTGCGCTTTCTGGCATGTATCTGTCTTCTCGTTGTCGCTGTTGATAATAAAACTTATGAGCCTGTCATCGGATGGCGTCTGGTGAATCAAAGAAGAGACCTTCTTCTTACACGTCTTCCTCTTGCTAGATTCATAACAATGTTCAATATCTGACATGATAGATCCCGATTTTATTACGGTATCGCATTTAAATATATCGATATTTGATGAGCTATTCTCTTTCAAAATTCCGCGTTTAAAAATTTCAGCGTCGGTTGTGCTTGTCCGGCCGTTCCGCAAGAGGCTGTTGTCGAGTAAAAATTCGGACTCAGATATTTGAGATATATCTTTTGGAGTTATTATAAAACTCTTCGGACTGCCTTCGAATTCTTCTCCGAATGTCTCATCAACTGACAATGAATTATCTTGACCCGTTAAGACGAGGTGCTGCTCTTTTTCGAATACCTTATTAATTGATCCCGCTTTTATCACGGTATCGCACTTAAATATATCGATTGTATTGTACGCGCTGTCGTCCGAAATGTCTCGTTCGAAAATTGCAGCGTCGATTGTGCTCGCCCGCTCGTCCCGCAAGGGGCTATTGTCGAGTAAATGTTCGAAGGATTCACTAGATATTTGAGATATATTTTTTGGAGTTATAATAAAACTCTTTGGACTGCCTTCGAATTCTTCTCCGAATGTCTTATCAACTGACAATGAATTATCTTGGCCCATTAAGACCAGGTGCTGCTCTTCTTCGAATACCTTATTAATTGATCCTGCTTTTATCACGGTATCGCAATTAAATATATCGATTGTATTGTATGCACTGTCGTCCGAAATTTTTCGTTCAAAATTTGCAGCGTCGATTGTGTTCGCCCGCTCGTCCTGCAAGGGGCTATTGTCGAGTAAATGTTCGAAGGATTCACTAGATATTTGAGATTTATTTTTTGGAGTTATAATAAAACTCTTTGGACTGCCTTCGAATTCTTCTCCGAATGTCTTATTAACCGACAATGACTCATCTTGACTCGTTAAGACAAGGTGCTCTCCATCGTGTATAATTTTATAATTTTTAGAAAACTCAGATTTTTTATTGGAAGACTTTTCAGAGATGCTGAAAACATATACATATTTTCTAGAATTCTTTTCATATATCGCTCATTTGCTACAACACAATTTGTTACACACAATTTCAAAAATAAAACTTTCCAGAAAATAAATTTTAATGTTTTGAATCATAAAAACTTCGTATTAATTTTGTAATGCAATTTTGATGTAACAACTAATTAAAAAAGAATAAAAATGTGTAATAACTAATTAATTGATGTTATAATTAATTAAAGAATAAAAAAAAATTAAAACGTCATTTTTTTTTCAAGCAACGCTGTAGCAACATCAATCTTTCTTTTTGTTTTTTCTGCAAACATCTAAAAGATGACGATTTTTTAGTTATGTCATTTTTTTTTACCAGAAAAAGAAAATTCTTTTACCAGGATAGATCCTTATCCACAGAAAATTTTAATTCACTGCGTGTATTCAATCGTTCATTACATATTCGTTGCAATTGCTTGACTGGTATTCGAGAAGCGTCTATGGATCTTAATAAGATGACTGCATGTACGAAGCTCAATTCTGGCTGGGACAAATTATGCGGTTCAAGGAAATGTTTATGAGGGAACGTGTAGTTGTCACGAGCAGTGTCTTCGTTGCAAACATTTGTACGCGAAAACTCGGGATCTCTTCTAAGGAATAATTCTCTTATATTTCTTTTACGAGATAACACGTAACAATCTAAAAATTAAATTTAATTAAAGTTTTAGATGTTTTTTAAACTCTCCGTGTGAAATTTACAAGATGCTTAAAGAGAGTCTTTAAAATCCAAATATCAGATTTCTTATTTCGCACTATATATAATTATATAATTTATTCATGAGTAACTCATTTTCTAGTAAAAATTAAAATCAATGTATACTCAGATAGAACGCAAAAGTCGCATAATATCGTTATATAGTGAAATAATATAAGGATTATGTCATTACTTTATTTGTCAGTTATAAGTCACAAATAAAATTGACGTCATTGTGACACCATTTGTTTCTATGTCTATTCATGAGCAAGTCGAATGCATTGAATAAAGGAAAAGCAACAGCCCTTAAAGAAATTTAATAAGTATTAAATTAGTGATTAATTACTTACTTTAAGTAATGACAATAAATAATGAACTCGTCAATGTAAAAACAATCAAATTTAAAAGGAAGCCAAACTAACATATATTTAACAAGAGAATAATAACTTAATTATATTCATTTAATTATTAATTATAAAAGCATTGAATTTTTAGATATTAAATTCATTTAGTTATTAATTATATATTAAATTTAATATGAGCGTTCGTGGCGCGTGGAGCTGCGTGGCAGCTTACTGTGCCAAGAATCCAGGTTCAAAACCACCCAGAACGGTGCTCTGAAATGCGTTACCAGTGCTAAACGGCATTTGGCGGCGTAAATTGAAGCACGGTCTCTGGAAGGCGATCGCCCAATGGAGATGGCAAAACTGGAGCTTGTTATAGTTGTAGAGAAGTTGGGAATATAAGAAAATGTAACCTTAAGAGGATCATAAATGTTTAATATTAAATTTATTATAAACTAAAAAAATTATTATTAAATATATTATATATAATTAATATATATGATATGTAATATTATACACTAAAATTATATATAAAATTTATTATATATACATCATAAGTATTACAACAAAGTAAATTAATATTGGCGATACATCTTTCAACGTAACTTGTCTTTTTGTTTATCTGCCAAAATTAATACATTTAATAAATTAATCAATAAATTAATTATTAATTAATTTATTATAAACTACTTAATATTGTAATTAATATAATTGTAATTAACAATAATTATTATTAATTATAATTATTAATTATAATAAATGTATTAAGTGTGGCTGAAATAAGTCAAGTTGAATTGTGTATCGCCAAAATTAAATTAATTTGTTCTAATAATTATGATTTATAAATAATTATGAACAAACGTTTTTATCCTCGTTGTTAAATGCTCGTTAGTTTGGCCTCTTTTTTAAATTTGATTGTTTTTATTTATTTGAAACATTAAACACTGTTTAATGCTTTTAATACTCAAAATAAGTGTATAATTAAAAAATAATCACTGATCAATTATAATAATATATATATTTAATTTTTTTAAAGGAAAAAGTATAAACAAATTAAGTCTCTAGGAGGTGAAAATTAAAACAAAATATAATTAAAAAAAGGGTTCATGTTTCTTTTTGTTGTTTCCTAGAACCTTCTTCACTTTTGCTTCGCTCCCTTTATGATTCAATCTTTATTCTTCCCTCACCAAGGTTTTTCACTGAACTTACCCGAGTCATTTGAATCACAACCTGTACCACACGATTCCTCCGAGGATCGTTGTAAATTGCAAAGAAACTCTTGCCTCTGCCTTTGAATGTGAGCTTCTAATTTTTCACAAGTCTACAAATTAAAATAAGAAATATAATTAAGTGCGCCTTACACATTGCGATATACATATATCTCTTGCAGAAATCCAATTTAACATTGAAACTTATACATTCTAAATAACACAGTGCTTTTAGTCCTTCCCATACAGCACACATTATCCGAGGGACGTCCAATGGACGTTCCTTAGAATATGTAATTAATCACAATACTTTTCAGTAAATATACAATCATATGAATATATTAAATTACTGTATTGTTCTTTTTAGTTTCGTCTCATACGACATACGCGTTGTCAACCTGTCGGAAACGGGTTTTGCAGTTATATTATATCGCGTTTAAATTTCTGTAAGGATGAGTATCGAGGTTAATTACGCATATTTACCATTACCTTTTCGATTTTTCTTCTTTTCGCCTTCTTCACCATTTTTTTCTTCTCTCACCGTTATCGGGTCCGATTCACTGCAATTTTAATCGTTCATATAACCGTTAACGCCTTAACACCAGCTGCTGAATTTAAAGCCGAACAGTTTCTACAATGCTATCGCGATGTATACCTATTCGAAAATTTGAATTTTTTAAGATGCTTCTCTCTGTCGTCTATTGTGTACAATCTCTTTGATCTGACATCGCCCATGTGATTTTGTTTACACCGGCGGGGGCAGAAGAAACAAGGCTAAAGTCACTAGATTTAATCTAGTGACTTTAGGACGAGGTTAGTTTAAGGGTACGTTTCCACTAAGCGCGTCACGCGTTGCGTTAGGGTGAAGGTGCCTTTACATACGCAGCACGCAGCAGCAGCAAAATGTCACGTGATTCAAATTTTAAAAAACCGCTTCCGCCGCATTTGCTGCGCATGAAAAGCTGCGAATGAAATTTGCAGCAAAATTTGAATCACGTGACATTGTCACTTGTCAATTGCGGCTTGTCATTGTGACACGCTCCTGTCATCCGTCGCGTTATCGCGCTGATCGTGCATTGATCGTTAAATCGACATGATTTTTAGCATAAGTTGACAACTTCGCGGCCGGACAATTTGCAACAAGAAAGAGATTGTTCTACCCACGAGTTCTTCCGTTTAACCCAGTGAGAAACAATTTGTC